TCCTGTAGCTGCAACGTGGGAACTTGTGTTTGAAAAGCACGTGAGCAATGATGGTCTGTGTTTAGTCAGTGTGGAAGGTCTCTGACTTTAATGTGTTCAAACAGATAGGGGCTGCCACCTTTCAACGTACAGGTATGAGTCATTTGAAAACGCATCATGTGATGTTGCACGCAACAAACAAACATCTGGAATTGCTATTTGTATTTTGACAGCAGGGATCATCTTGATTAATTAGCAAAGTATGCAGTAACAACTGTACGTTAACACTGAATTCTCTACGGAGTAATGCTGGTACTGACTTATTTATGAGATACACATGTACCATAATAGAGAGCACACATTCACCAGGGAACAAATATTAGTTTTGTTGTCTTGCTTTGAGTATCCATGTTTAATATGCCTCTGAAATTATTTTAATAATGACATGCATCATTTTTTATTTAACTAAAACCAAAAGTACCAACATCTATTTGCTTTATTATTATGGAAATAAACTTAAAAGCAACTAATGTAAACATCACATTAGCAAACGAGTGGAAGAAGTATTAAGATCTGTCAATTATGGTAAGTAAAAGTACCAATACCAGAGTGTAAAAATACTCTATTACAAGTAAAAGTCCTGCATTCAAAATAGAGCTAAAGTATTATTAGCAAAATTAACTTAAAGAAAAGTACTGCTTCTGCACTAAAATGCCACATGAGAATATGTTAATAGCATTTTATTGTTGTAGCTGCTCGAGGTGGAGCTAGTTTTAAAATCATCATATACAGTTACAGCAGTTTAGTGGTCTGGCATCGCCACATCAATCTGCAAATGTCAGTCTGGAAGTTCTCAGTTCATTTTTGATTTCGAAGGGGCGTTATTAATAGCTGTAGATCTAAATTCCTCTGGACAGAACCCCCAAGAAGAGTGAAGGGTTTTGAAGCCAGCTATAGATAGTGGCCAAATGTGGAATTACCCAGTGCGGGGCCATCACATGATGCCGTTTTGCCTCTTTCCACAGGCTTACATTAAAAAAGAGACATCTGTAAATCCGTGGATATTTTTTTTGAGTGTCTCAACCCTTGCAAAATGACTCTTTTCACTATCCTGATTTGATCCACTGGGTCTGATAACATTTCTAAAGTCTAAAAGAGCTGCATGATTAAATCAGTTTTATCCTCATTTAAGTAAGTGGAGTGCTAAACTGGAAGTTAGCCACTCTGATGCTGTAAGTCTCTGGGGCGCCTGCTCTATGGGCCCAACGATGCAGATGATATGGGTAATTTCATACAGTGGAAATAAAGTTTTTTGGCTTCATGAGTCACTGAGCAACTTTAATAGGAATAAATGGGGCCCCACCTCCAATGCTGCATCCATTTCTCTTTATACATCCATGCTCTAAATGCAATTGGATAGACCTAAAACCAATCAGCAACATAATGTTAAGTAGTGCTGCACGATGGACAAATGCAAACAGACTACAGTGTGACAGTGTGATGGTGAAGCATTGACACATCTGTGAACGAGTGTTGCAGTTAGTACTTCAAAACAGTATTTCAACAGAAAGTTCAGCTGCAGCCATCTTGGTTGTTTTTAAAAATGCCTCAACAGCTTGGATTATAGTTTACGCTTGCCATCATGTCCCCAGTGCACGGATGTGTCAGCCAAAAATGACCTCATCAGGTATTTTTGCATAAAACATGAACGTTAAAAAAATCATCAGTCATCGTATCAAAACCGCCTCATGTTAAATAAAGAGTTGTGACTAGCTCAAAGCAGGCTAGATCATCTGGAAATCTGTCTTTAACAGGAGGGAACCAGACGCATCTGCCAGAGCAAATAAAGCTCACAGATAGGTCTGGTTCCCAAGCAGTGTCGGGCCCTCCCAACTGTCACCAGATAAACATGAGGGGTTGTGAGACAATTAATAGGGCAGGAAAAAAGAGTGGGGACTTTGACTTTTTGGATGTTTAAATAAAAACATCTGAGAAGTTTATAGGAGTAATCTGTTTACAGACAACTCATAGACATCTGAAATGTGACAAGGGGCTCCAACGGCCTTCTGTTAGGGTCACAAGACATGAAGGTGGGAGCCACTGGTTAAATCCTCAACAATGTATTTTATCAGTTCATCATTTGTGTTTTTATGCAAAATCTTTTCTTTATTTGAAGAGTAACTTAAGCTGTCAGATAAATGTAGTGGAGTACAAAGTTCAATATTTCCGACTAAAACATACCGGTAATAAAGTAGAAGTATAGAGCAGGGTGTTCTCGGGAGCCAGAGCTGATCCTGGTGGTGTGTGACTGCCATGCCACGAGCTGCGTATGTGTGTATGTGTCTGTGTGCTGCACAGTTGTGCTTCAACGTTCAGACAAGCAGACAGCACATTAACGGAGCAGAAAAGCCAGGTCATAAATAATGAGTGGCTCGCTTCAAGCAGAGGGCTCCAGTGAACAAGTGTCTCGCTTTACAACACACACACACACACACACACACACACACACACACACACACACACCGCACACACACACACACAGACACTTAGACAGAGGCATCAGTTTAACTGTCACCACTACTGGCTGTGACATGATGTCAATATCCTCATTGTGAGCATGTGCGTGTCTAACTAACGTGTGTATGTGTGTGTGTGTGTGTGTGTCTGAGTGAAAAAAAAGCTCCTATCTGCATATCCTTAAATGTTTCACCATTTTCTCCAGGTTTTCATGGTTTCTGTTTTCTTGTTATCACTCATGACATTAGCATTAGCAACAAGGAAGTGCTCCAACTCTGTGGTGTTCTTTTAACATTCTGTCTTGATTTATATCTGACCAGTTTTATCATATCACATACAGCGTTAAGGACTGTCAGAGCAGGAAGACAAGGTATTTTAACACAGCAGTGTGACAAACATTGCCCACTATTTACCTAGCAACATCATTAAATCCGTTCACAAATTATGTGTCATTATTCCTGTCCTGTCCAATATTGCCACACAAAATATTATGATACTATGCTGTATCGACTTTTTTGCCCCCAGCTCTACCAGCTTGTCTCTAACTGTGTCTGTCTGCTGCTGAGCAGGTAGCGTAAAGCAGGTTTTAAGAACTTTTTCTCTGACAACAGCAGCCTGCTGCAGCTGAAAACGACGCTATGTGAGCGGTCAGAGTCAACCAGAAATGCAAAGTTGCAGCCAACATCAGAGCAATGAGCTTAAACTCACTATAAAGCCGAGTAAAGCCGAGGGGAGCTGCAGATTCAGGTGATACTTCTTTGTAGGTTCATCTCTACCAACAACCTCTTTCACACTTTAATGTCATACATATGGTAAAAACACTGATTGAAGCCACATTAAAAATATGATATCCTAACAGAAGTCATCAGAGTGTGGCTGTTCAAACGGTGGAGAGTGACGGTGAAGACACATCTACGTATTTCAGTTGATATCATGGTTGAGTGATCGTTTGTGGCAATTGCAAATTATGTTAATCGTCAGGACCTCCTCACAGACATGCGTTTCCAACCTTGAGGCGTTCATAGCAGGCTGCGTAAACTGATGAGGACATTTTTGGAGTTCTGTTTACTTAACAGACAAAAGCGGCCAGAAGTTAGGTAACATAACAGGAAGTGGAACAAAAAAAATAGGTGGGCTTCATTTATGCATCTTTTAATTTTCATTTATTTCTTAATTTTCTTTTCTAACTTATAGTCTTCTCTAATTTTCCTTTTCTTCATTTATTTATTTTACTTTCCTTCATCTTCTTCCTTTCCCAAATTTCTGTCTTCGCCTTTCTTCCCCTTCCTTCTACTCTCCTTTCTTTCCTCTTTCCTCACCATCATCCCTCCTTTTTCTTTCCCCTCTTCTGTCCCTTCCTCCCTCTTTCTCTGCAGCGCTGTTGTCCAAGGATAGGACATGCTGCAGGTGATGGAGGTAAATCATCTAGGACATAATTAAGAGGCTTATGAGGAGGAGTGCGCATGTTATGCATCACATTAGAACAAAAAAAAAAAGAAAAAGAAATTGCATGCAAACAGGCCTCATAGTTACACAAATGCTCATTTTCATTCACCGACAAACACACAGACACTCAGCCTTAGGGGTCTGACCTTATACAGTGGAGTTAAATACCTCTCGTGCCTCATTTGGTTGTCTGTTATTACACACACACTCACACAGACACACACACAGACTCTCTCAAGCACATTGCCTTCTGGTGTGTTTTAAGCACCAATGAAGGACTCATCAGACATGTTCATCTAGTTCCCTCACAAATTTGAATGTTTTCTGCTCACCCGTTGGCCCTTGAAGCCTCTGTGAGGAATTGTGCGTTTGTGTGTGTTTGTTGGTGTGTGTGTGTGTGTGTGTGTGTGTGTGTGTGTGTGTAATCAGGAACTCGGCTTGATCCCCTCTGGTATGTGCTTTCGGGAGTGTTTGTCAAAGGGCAGCAGCACAGCCTGAAGTAACGACAAAAAAATGGGCCTTTGCCGGTTTTCCTCCTCTCGCTGTTTACTCTAAAAAACTTTCGTGTAATGTATTTCATTAGCCTGATATTAAAGACTTTATTATTAACATTTAAGACGTTATATTACAACACTTTCTATTCAATTTTTCGGGGAAAACAATCCCAAAACATAAGGACAAAGATGCAGAGATTGTGTGCTGGTAGTGATTATGTAAAGGTGGATTTTTACACTTCCTATTTGATTTTACAAACTTTCTCCAGTATCTCACAGTTAATCATCACACTAGATGATATCGTCTTTAAAAAAAGGCAACAGGTTATGTGGATTTTACATGAATATTACTCTGTCAAACATGATCTGATTTAATTCCCCTTTGTTTTATTAAACGGGGGTGAGAGCCTGAGAAAATACCTGGTGCTACATATCAGAAAAGTGAGTCGGAGTGGGTGAGTTACTGAGGTTATCAGGAGTCCACCTCCCATTTCAGATGTGAGGAGAAATAACGAGTCACATTTGGTGTCTTTTTTTGGTCAAACATTATGATTATTTTCTTACCGTTGCCTGCGATGGTCCGGGCCTCGATTTCATTAGCTTTCCTCTTGGCCACATCCGCTAGCACCACCTCGCCCTTATCGCTGGCAACATAATGGAGGTCCTTTGAAGGAAATGCAAGAAAGAAAGAAACGTTAACGTTAATCTAAAATGAATCTAGGCTCCGATGACAATGGGTTTTTCTTTTTTTGGGAGGGGTGGGGGCGGTGTTTTGGCGGGAGAAGGAAGAAACAGATGAAATGACAGAAAAAAAAAATGAGCCGTTTGAAGCCCAACATCAGAAAGAGCACGGGTTGGATGAAATGCCGGTTCCTCCAAAAACTTTGAAATCAGCCTGCTCGCCCCCCCCTCCCCCCTCACCCTCCCCACCCCTCACACCCTCGTCTCTCCGTTTTTGAACTAGGGAGGATGTTATCTGTCACATTTCAAAAGTGGGAGAGGAGGCGAGGGACTGTTCACCTTTCAGAAACGCTGGTATTCTCTCTTTATGGAGAAACATATCCAACTGAGCACATTACTGTATCAGCCTGCAACAATATTGGAAACAGCGTGTATCCTCTGTATCTCTCTGTTTGAGGCTTGCCGGGCCATAAAGTGAGATAATATTGCTAAATGATGTCTGAGGGTGGCTGATTTAAAGCTCAACGCTGCCATACTATTCATTAATAACCACACTGCATCAGACAGCTGTCCTGATTTAAGGTGCGCGGGGCTGCAAGGCTGAAGTCAATTCATCCATTTAAATACCTGAAAAATAAAAATGAATTCTCTCAAACTAAGGCTTTAATAAATTAGATTACATTCAAATAGTAATTGTCATGTGACGGACATGGACTGTGTCTCAAATCTACATCTTGCGCTCATCTATGCAGGTTTTGAGTATGTTGTGTGGACAAAATGTACGTTGATCTACATTTCTCTCCCTCAATGCAATGCTCAAAGGAAACAGAGGAGCAGCTGAATTAGAGTTAACACATGCAGACCAGATAGAAGCGAGAATTCTTCTTTAAAATTAGAACAAAATCATGTTTTACAATGTGAAATTGATTTAGTTTAAGAAGAGCGCATCCTGATGTGAGCATTTCAACAACAGCTGAATCAGAGGACCTAAAAAGATTCAGGACTTGTGCTCAAACGATGACTGAACGATGATCTAAACGGCACCAATTACCACCAATAGTCACACATTTCTCAGTCTAAGAAGCGAACAGGAACAGCAGCTTGATGGTGTAAAACTTGGTCGTGTGTCAGAAGGGTCACTGATTTGAATTCTTCAGAACGACTGTGAAGTAAATGAAAAACACACTCTTGATAACAATCAGCATGTTGCACCAGTGGCTCCAGTGGAGCCCATCAATAACGACCACTAAGGCTGAAAATATACTGGTCTGTTCCCAGTCACTCAGAGTGGAAAGCAGGATGGTGCCCGAGGAACTAAATATACATGATGTGGCTGATGCAGATATAAAAGTGAGAAAAATTACAACTTTAAAATGTAAAAAAATTTCCAGAGGCACTGTTTTAAATTGGGAAAAGAAGGGGTGAAACCCCTACTGAATTTCTGCAACACTCAACCTCTTAAATTGATTGAACAGAGAGTAAATCACACCTTCATCCTGGCACCCAACGAGGGGCTACTCAGGGTTGCAGGGTTTCCACAGGCCGAGCACAGGCCCTGAGGGGGCATCAAAGGGTACAGCGTGTTAAGGAAAGTCTTCCGCCTCAGCGACATCACAGGACATCAGTGCCGTGACTCAGGGCTCGCCATGGATAACCCTCAGCTGGCTAAAGCCAGCCCCCAGCTGAGCCTGCACCCGGCCCTAATACCCCCATATTGTAACCCAGCTTTTGTACCCCCGGAGGGGAAAAAAAAAAGAAGAGGGGGGTGCTGGTTTCCAAAAGAGGAGGGGAGCAGAGAGGGATTGAGGCAGGGGAAGAGGGGGTGTAAAGAGAATGAGAGAGAGGGAGAGGTGCTGAAATTGAAGAGTATGAATGGGAACAGATTGGGTAATTATAGTGTGGTGCCTGCCCTCTGTGGCGAGGAGTTAGGAGGAAATGTGAAAATGGCCGACAACAAAATGGCCTCAAAAGAACCTAAATCGGCTCCCAGGACTGAGGTGGCTAATTCAGCCACTGTGAACGAGGACATGGCCCCTCAATTAGATATGAGTGAGGCTTCCTAATTGATAACAAACAGAGCAGCAGAAGATTAAAACAGGCGAGCAGGAGAGCGGTGAAATGATAGCGAGGTGTGTGAGTAGGAGCAGAGAGAGGGAGAGAGAGATGGTGAACAAGACATAAAAGACGTGAGGAAGGCAAAATTCACAACAAGGGTTTTTCATGGGAGAGCGAGAGAGAGAGAGAGCAGCAGCAGCCGTGAGAGAGAGATTGTATGACAGACAGAACAGAACAATATGAACATTTGATGCCGGGGCGCTTTATTCCAGCTTAGCTCCTCATAATACTGTCTGAATCTGGAGAGAGGGACCCAGAGAAAGAATAAACGAATGAACAAACGCGAAATGAGAGAGAGGGAGAGACAAACTGAGAGCTAAGAGAGGGAGAGAGGAGTATCAGCCCGACTAAGAAGGGATAACAATAATACTGCATATAAAACCATCAGATATTACACCTCTTATTCCCAGACGCTCAAACGCGACACTAATCTTATTTATATAAGAGCTTTAGGGGTTGCAGTGCCTGATAAAGAGGGGCGTTTTAGTGGGCCATTTTTGGGGAGTAGAGGGGAAGGGAGGGAGGGGAGGTGGTGGACACTAAGAGCCCGATATTGACTGATATTTTGGGTTACCTCCAAATAAATGAGGGATTAGGATAACTGGCACACGGCAGCACTTACAACACGTTAATAGACGGGATCATGTCTGAATGTTTGCAGTCTGTGGGTTACTGTCAAACAGGATCGATGGGAAGTACAAACGTGAACACTCAGAGTGGATTTGCAGCCTTTTTTGGCATTATGTGCACAGAGTGACTTATTATTGGCATAAGGACCATCTGCAGAGTCTGACCTTTGTGTTTTCTGACCAATATACAGTATATGTATGTGATTGGGAGCGTTTTTCAATTTAGAAGAAAAATTCTCCCCTTAAGCCTGTAATGTTTGAAGCATCCTTGGAGCTATTTTACGATCATTACTTGTGATCTTAGTGTATCTGCCTTTCAACAATTCATAGAGAAAGGGAAACAACTTGTTGCATTTGGTGCAGGAAGGAGCAAAGAGTAACAGGAGTAGTGTTATGGCAGCAAAATATCCCAGTCTTAATTTCTTGCTTAGAAAATGACACATATCGTCATGTCTACCTGTAGAGTTTAATCCTTTATCTGAAATCACTCCTATTTGCAGCTTATACACTGTATTTGCTGGCCACTGTTTTATCTCAGTGTCTTAATTATTTTCTTTTTTTTCTTCTTACTGATATTTTCAAGCAAAACAAGTGAGCTGACAGGGGCAACAGTATTTGTAACAAGCAGTGTCTTTCACACAGAATAAAACAGAACAGAAAATAATTTATTGTCTACTTTTGCATGCAAAAGGAAGAAATTTGTCTTGTTTTGCATGTGCAAAATCTTAAATTAAAAAGATACTTCAGCCAGCATCATATCACATCCAGACAGGACACATTAGAACACATTTACATGAAAACACAACACACAAAAGACGCTACATTACAGCAGCACGTGGTACTCAATGGCAAGGACTGAATCAAGGTTTAATAAACAGATACAAAGTGATTTCTTACTGATTAACATATTTTATGGCAACAGGGAACAAATGATTTTCTACAGATGTTTTTCGTTGCACAAGTGACTTTGTGCCTTTGCCCTGAGGGCATCAGGTGAAGTGGTGATTTAAGAGGTGGCTGGAGCCGTTTAAGATTTTGCCACTTAAGACTTGGACTGCTCTGCCAGGGTGATAGGACAGTGGTGTTTGTTTGCAGCCTGTAGTTCTGTTAACTGTTTTGGAAAGTCTTGCTTCTGACATGAGAACACAATATTAAAAGTGAGTATACTCATTATGTAATAGGTCACATCTTATAGGCACAGATGTGTATATACAGACAATTTCCTCCAGTATTTTGCATATTTTCTGTATTTTTTAATCACAGTAACTGGGAATTTCTCTATATAGTTTATTTCACTGATGATTGTAGTTGAGTCAAGCAGAGTCCCTTGTTGAAGGATTTTTCTGCTGCCATTTACACATGACGGCTTCCTCACGACTGCTAAAAGTACGCACATCCAGGATTTTGTTCAGGTATAAACAGGAGCAATCAGGTCCTGTTGCAAATGTTATTATCATCTATCTCTTTAGTGTTAGTACCTGAAAAATAGTACAAAAAGTAAATCAACGCTGCATTTTTTGTTTAAAATGCCACACTTATAAAGACTTAAAGAATTTTTCTATGCCACATGGAATGAAATTTAAGACAAATTTCACAACAACTATTTGGAAATACACAAAAATAAATAAATAAATAAATAAATGAACATGAACCAACATCGGTTACTTAGGCTATGGGACAATTTTGCCCAAATGTTTATTGTAACATAAAACATAATTTTATTTGTCTTGTGGTGCTGACAAGGGTAGAGCAGAACTGGAAATACCTGGCATTTGTTGGTCATTTCACAGCATTTTAAGACTTCCGAAAGATTTATTAAAGATATCTTTTAATACCAATGTAGGGCCTTATTTTTAGTTTAATGAATTCATTGCCTTTTGAGAGTTTTTAAGGACCTGCAAGGGCCCTGCATTTACACATAACGGCTTTCTTGCCAACAGCCAAAAGAAAAAATATCAGGGGTTTTGCTCAGGTATAATGAAGCATAAGAGCAATCAACCTCTGTTACAAATGTTATATTTTTCTTTAGGAATCATGTTTGAGCAAATAGTAAACAAACGCTACAGTACTCTTTGTTTAAAACGCCACACAATGTAGCAAAAAAAGACTCAAACTCAATATGTAGTGAACGGTGGATGAATGATTTTGGACACAGCCTGAGTTTCTGCGTTTCTTCCAAGATGCATCTGTCCCTGTGTGACTGTAAAATATCAGCACCAAAAGGCGGCTCTAGAGAAAA